CTGATAGGAGCTGAAAAGAATAAAGTAGTACACAGTATATTAACATGGGCATTAACAATAGATTGATAGCATTAATTTTGTATGCGTAACATTTGCAATCGCCTTATATTCAGCGTAATCTACACACAGCGACAACATTGAACGCCCCCTGCCGCTGGGCTAATGTTTCCACGCTGCCACCGATGTAACCTCCCACTGTATCGCAACAAGGGCATCATGCTGGAATGGTAATGGCGATCACCATTGACCCATTGCTGCGACAAACGTATTATAAATCACGAACATGTAAACGCACTCAAGGACTCTGCGTATGTTGTGTTTAGAGGTACGCGGTGTGTTTAATTAGGACCAATTAACGCTCTAAACGACGACGAAAAGCTGCGATGGTCGCGGCAATAATGAGTCGGCACGCCGTTAGATTTCGCTTGGACCTTGTCATCGTGCTCGAGACGACAGTCACCGTAGCTTGAGATCTAAATGCTGGCTACATCTACGTGCGTGTGACTGTGTGGTGTGCATGTGTAACCGCGTGTAAGCGTGTGGGTGTGCGTGCGTGTGCGTGCGCGCGTGTGTGTTTATGTGTGTGTGTGTGTGTGTGTGTGCGCGCGCGCGCGCGTGTGCGTGTGTGTGTGTGCGCGCGCGTGTGTGTTTATATGTGTGTGTGCGTGTGTGTGTGTCGTGGTGCGTCTGTGTTGGCGCGCTCAGCCGGCGAAGGGGGGTGCCAGCGCGCAGTGGTGGTGGTGTGTGTGTGTGTGGGTGTGTAGTTGTGTGTGCTATATGGTGTGTGTGTGTGTCGTGTGTTGGTATGTGTGTGTGTGTGTGTGTAGTCGTGCGGCCAGGCGGGCGGCGTGTGTGTGTGTGTGCTGTGTGGTGTGCGTGTGTGTGCTCTGTGTAGCGCGCGTGCTGCCGTGCGCGACTGTCGTTGTGTGTGTGTGGTGTGTAGCTGGTGCGTGTGGTGTGTGTTGTGTGGTGAGTGCGGTGTAGAGCGTGCATACACAGCCAGCCGTGGCGCGCAGCTGTTTCCCAGGGTAGCACCGCCGTCGTGGCACAATAGCGCGCGACAGAGACGACGCAAAACGCCGTCTTAATGGGTGTCGGCAAAGTAACTGCGATCAGAAGACAAGGTAAAGGAGAGCTAGCAGGTTAAACACGACGCTAACGATAGCAGACGCATCAGTGCTGGCCGGCCCGAAAGACCACACCCTGCGTCGAACGACCTGGTCGAACTCTAACTAGATCAACCGCGCCACCGCTGCAGATCCACGCGCGTAGATGAAATATTACTGGACAAATGACAGCAAATAGGCGTGACATTTAATGGAACCTTACGGCCTGCGTGCAGCGCGATACGTCACGGAGCACTGACACACTGCTCGCGATTTTCTCTCTCAGCATACAGGCGTCACCACCGCGTTGTCGGTGGCCCTTATCTGTGTTCTAACCAGTCATTTATTCTGCTTGTATCTGTTGGCAGGGGGGAAATAAGGAAGAAGAAGGCGCACCAGGTTAACGTGAAGTAGGAGCTCGGCTGGGTATGTGGTGAGCTATAGGGTGAAGCAAGATGTAATGGTCGGTGTCCATGGGCGCGCGACCAGACACGGAAGTCTCTTGTAAGCCGGCGCGTTGATTCGCTGGTGCGTTGGGCTCAAGTGTGAGAGCACCAGCACTGACGTCGCATGGGCCATGTACTGGCCGCGGCGTCCCTGGCGTCGGTGTCCACGCTGTGGAACGAGTAGTGAGCGCCGCGCCGTAATAGGCTGCAAGTCGGTCGGCGAATGCGTGCGATATAAAGGACCGAGGTTGGTCAGACGATAACGATTTGGCCTGGAAATAGTTACCTATAATTGTCGTACTTAGTTTGCGTCAAATAAAAAACATCGCGTTTCGGCGTTTCGAAGGTTCGGGCATAGAGATGGGTAAAGCGGTGGTACATTACATAGAACCGAGCAGCTAGCTTTCAGTGCCTGGCAACTCTTGGATGGCAGCTGCTATACTGCGCTATAATACTGGCCTATGAATCCTATCCTATATCATATATCCTATATACTGCCTATATCCTATATCCTATATACTGCCTATATCATATATCCTATATACTGCCTATATCATATATCCTATATATAGGCCTACTGCCTATATCCTATAATACTGCCTACATCATATATCCTATATAATGCCTGTATCCTATATCCTATATACTGCATATATCCTATACCCTATATATTGTACTATATTCCATATATAATACTGCCTATATATCCTTATAATGTTTTATGTTGTTTTAATCCGAACAAATGGTTATTATAATTTGCCTAAAGTATGCTGCATTCTCTTTAAATACATAAGACTGGATAATTTGCTCTCGTGAATATGATGTTCTAGTTTATCGTCTCGGAACATGACACCAGTTTCACGAAGCAAGTCCGCGAAAAGTTCTCTTCCTCTATCTCTATCTTGATCTCTATATTACTTTCAATAATACATTTTTCACATCAATACATCAACAATGTTACCATTCAGAACGTTTTATCTATGCCTCACGTACAGACTTCAGCTAGCAGCAAGCAATTGTTGACCTGATATACATTGACAAAGCTGAGCCACATATCCTCATCATTGACCTGGCCTACCTGGTTGATACGTATCTACGATGCGAAAATATCTACGATAGCTAAGCCGTATTCATTCGGCCGTTATCTGGTTTAAATCCGAGTATTAACAACGCCTTATACGTACAATAGACCATCCTGTGTGCGCGTGCGCGTGTGTTACTCTAAAAGTAGAATGAGATTCGGTAGAACCTTATTTATAGTATATATAGTCAATTCAATAGATTGGTGAGAAAACTTCTGCTGGCTGTAGCGATGTAGTGGTAGTACGAAAGGTGTATATAGACGATGTGTGAAAGAAACAGCTTACACGTATATTACTGTCATTTCTTGCTTTTCATGATAAATGACGGCATTCGTTGGTCATTGGGAAGCAGTATTATTTTTGATACAGCATCTCGCAGCAGCTATTTCGCTCGGCGACGACTGGCGCTCTGTCATTTTATTGATGTCAAGATGATAATGAGCAGTTACCCTGCATATTATATATATGTTATATATATATATATTATATATATATATATATATTTTATTATAGATGTGGGTGTCGTGTGCCCGCGTGTGCGTGTGTGCGTGTGTGTGCTGTGTGTCGTGTGTTGTGCGTGTGTGTGTAGTGTGGTGGTGTGTGCCTCGCATTGTCGTGTTGTGTTGTGTGTGTAGTGTGTGGGCGTGTCCCACGTGTGTGTAACGAGAGAGAGAGACGAGAAAAAAAGAGTGTTTTTGTGCGCGTGTGTGTGTGCGGATGTTTGTACGCGTGCGCGCGCTTCTGATCATGAATGTATACGCGTGTTCAACAAAGACAACGTTACTAAATTAGAACAACACTATTATTATGCCAATTTGTTATCGTGTGGTTATGGTCGACGTGAAAAGAGAATTACTCATGTTTAACGTAGCAGAAAGATAAGGCATTATATCCTTCCTCCTCGCTGCCGATAGCAGCTAAGGAACCACGTTTCCATTGTTCGCGTGAAAAAGCACACGCGCGCATTACTGGGTGTAGGCTGAGTTATACACGGGTTTGCTCTTACACATAGAAGCATTAACAAAACCTCAACCGCCGGGATATAGATATAGAGCGTCCGCGAAAAGATACCGATTCACTCCGCTCTGCGCTCGAAGCCGTGGCGTTACACTTTTCACGACGAGATCGTTGTAGCGAACGGAACCTTTCCGCAGAGATCGTCGCAACCACTCGATGCGTTTGCCGCAACCTTCACGAACACACTCAGACACACGCACACACTCCAGACCACGCACACGCGACAAGCACACGCACCACGACCGCCAGCGCAGCCACCACACACCGCACCAAACCGGGTGGCCTGGCCAGTATTCTGTACTGCCGCTGCTGGCTGCTGGCTGGCCTTTGCTTTTGTGAGGCGCCAGTATTTGCTGTTGCTGCTGCTCATTGCTGCTGCAGGACCAGTATATTTTACCGTTTCTCCGCTGTTGTTTTTTTGCGACCTCGCGAGGTCAAATTCCAATGTTGCTATGCATTCAGCATTGCCATCTTGACATCTAATGGCATCTTGGGCAATGTATATATATAGAGTGAAAATCCCGGAGGAAAACGATGTCAAAAAAACACCACACCACACAAGATTAGCCTCTTTTAGTAAGGATTGTGTGGTGTGTGCTGTGGTGTGTTCGTGGTGTGTGGTGTGTGTCGGTGTTGGCGCCGCGCGTGTGTGTCGTGTGTGTGTGTGCGCGCGGCGGTGTTGTGGTGACGTGTGTGTGTTGTGGTGTGTGTGTGTGTGTGTGTGTGGTGTGGGGTGGCTGTGTGTTGTGGGTGTGAGTGTGGTGGGTTAGCGCGCGTGTGTGTGTGTTTGACGTTGGTAGTTGTTGTTTTGTGTTGGCACGTGGGGTGGTGTGTGCGCGGGTTCGCGCAGCGCGGCGGGTGGTGTGGGGTGGGGGCAGGTGGTGGTGGGTGGGGGGCGGTGGGGGGTGGTTGGGTGGGCGGGGGCGTCCGGATCACCACGAAATCTCATCAATTATAAGTTAGCCCGATTTCTTGACCCGTATCCTGGAAAATTTTG